GTATGACCGCATCAAGAACAAACCCTTGATGTTCGGGGAATCGCGGGAGGAAAGAGAAGTCCGCGTGGATGGTGAGCACGCCTCTCTCGCTAAGGGTAAGCTCACAGGCCACCAATTCGAGCCTTGGTTTGAGGCCTCGATCGCGGACCTTGAGGCAGTAGGTCTCGGGAAGACCCCTCGAGAGTTGTATCTCTCATACCTCCGCAAGATGCCCCCTTATCTCCAAAAGGAGATCCGGAACGACAAAAGGTTGTGGCCTGGCGACCCAAGGATGGCGGGTTGCGAGGACCGCAGACTTGGGAGGAGAGCCACAAAGTCGTTCTGGAGTACGAGCAGAGAGAAGCAGCGCACAGGGCTGTTTCCCACTCTGTGTACACGGCCACCGGTTCGCAGAGCGCGGACCCGGCGGTCGCGCTGGCTGAGGCTCAGAAGGAGATTAAGAGTCTCAAGGCCGCTGCGAAGGCTGCTGCGAAAGGAGCAGCTGCCGCGGCCAAAGCTGGCGCGGACCAGACGTATGCTGCTACGTCGAAGGGAGCTGGCAAAGGAGCGGACAAGAAGATCTGCTTCCACTTTCGCGATCATGGGAATTGCCCGAAAGGGGATGCCTGCCCGTACAGCCACGACAAGGAGCTTCGCAGAAAAGCTCTCGCGGCCAAGAAGGGTGACCAAACCTTTGCCACTGCGAAAGGTAAAGGCAAAGGGAAGGGAGGTGGCAAAGCAAAAGCCAACGCAAAGCCTAAGGCTGCGGCCAAAGGCGCGGCAAAGCCACCAGGCACTGTTTGCCCCTTTTTCTCCAAGAATGGGTCGTGCAAGAAAGGAGCCAGCTGCGACATGGTCCACAACCTGACGACCTCAGGAGGGACGCCGGCCTTGCCTGCCAACTGGGCCCCGCCCTCCGGTGCTTCCATGTCTAACCCCTTCGCCGCGTTCAGTGTCCAGATAGGCAGCTCAGGCGTCCAGGCAGGCGTCCTAGGAGCCGCAGGACACGCCGCGGTGCAGCAGCACGCGCTTCCGTTAAGCAAGGGCGGGCGGGACGAGTTCGCCACCTTGGACGATCTACCGAAGGACTGGTGGAACCTGGCGGACAACGAGCCAGGAGGCTACCAGTACAGAACGGTGGTCCAGGTCCTCGACCGCAAAGTCGAGTGCATGCTTGACGGTTGCGCCGGCGCAAACCACGTGACTGAGGAACTCGTGGTAGGCATGATGAACCGGGCTGCAGAGCTTGGGATCGGCACTGAGGATCCTGGCTTTCCGGTCGTGAGACTTGAGAAGTGGGTCCACCCCGCATATGTGCATGGAATCGCATCGGGGGCCCCAGTTCCTTTGAAAGGGGCAGCAGTCTTGCGCGTCACGCTGCTGGAAGGCAAGACGGCGGACGATTGTCGCCCCAACACCGAGATTTTTGTGCGGTGTAAAATCGCAGCCAGAGGCACGTCCGATTGGCACGGACTTATCCTTGGCGGCAGAGCGCTGGACTGCGCCGGAAGGATGGGCTTGGGATTCAGGCCGGGTCCCGACTTTCATGTCCTCGACACGCTGGGAATCAGGATGCCCAGATGTGAAGATCACAGTAGGACTCGGAAGGACAGGGCCTATGCCTTTGAAGCGCGGTTGTCAAGCCTGGACGACGCGTCATGCACCGAGCCTGGGGGCGGAAGTCGTGAGCTTCTCCGCTATGACGGGGAAGAGCCGCTCGAGCTCTCGCCAGGTGATGGGGTGCTGGTGCCAGTCGTGCGGGAGTCAGGAGTCTCCGCAGAGGGATCCCTGTCCGAGGTTGTGCTTCCGGTTGAGTGTGGGGTTGAGGCTGTGCCAGGTCTCTGGCCCACAGGAGAGGGTAAAGGGTTTGTTTTGCTTGCAGCCCAAGAGTGTGATCACTCTCTCCAGCCGGGCGAGGTTGTTGCGGAAGTGCGTTCCGGCCTCGTCAGCACTGCGGCTTGTGGTTGTGGCGCGATTGAGACGGTGTTCGAGTCAGAGCCGTCTCCGCAGGCATGTGCGGATTGTGGGGTCGCCGTTGCTTCGGTTGACCATGACCCGTGCTTTGCTTGCGGGTCCGCGTCCAGGGCCGCGGCAAGAAGCTTCCAAGGTTGTTCCTCGTGTGCGCGGTCCTTTGGGCGGCTGCGTACCGGCGCCAGGATCGGTGTGCTATCGGTCCTTGCTGCGGTGACTGTTCTCGCTTCGGTGTGGGGCGGGAGCGGCCCGGTTGGGCGCCCTGTTGAGGAGCCTGGAGTGCTTACTTGCTTGGACCACCTTCCAAGCGTCGACAGCTGGTGGGAGGCGCCAGGTGGTTACGCGTCTGTGTGGGGTAGGCGCCCTGCGCAGAAGGACCTTGGGACCGTGGCGGTCGAGAAGGCGCCTTACGAAACGTGCTTGCTTCAGCGCGCAGGTGAGGCGTGGCGTCTTTGGGACACGAGGGATTTGCGTGTGGCGGAAAGCGTTGCGTGCAGCGATGAGGTTCCCGTCACCGAACGCCTCGCGGTCTTTAGGACGCGCAAGGGGCCACGCTGGGCTGGCTGGCGTGAGGGATCGGCCACGGCTGAAAGGGGCGCAAGTGATGCTGTGCGCCCAGCAGACGCGGTCGACACGGCGCGCTGCCCGAGCTATCATATCGTGGAGAGCTGGGACATCGATAAGATGATCGAGGAGCCTCCAACGGACTATTATTATGAGCAGCTCGCGGCAGATATGCGCGCCCGGCACCCTAAGGCGTGCCCGCACCTCCTCGACCACCTCGTTTCCTTAGAGGGTTTCCTAGATAAGTCAATCTTGTTTGGGTTCTCGTTTGGGATCAGTAAGGCCGAAGTTTGTGTCTCCAAAGGTAAGCTCCTAGGACACAACATTGGGCGGGACGGGAGTTCGCCTGACGAAGAGCGTTGTCAGGCGGTGATTGACTTTCCCCCGCTCTGGGAGAAGCTTCACATTCAGCAATTTTTGGGTTGCGCAAATTGGTTGCGCGGCTACCTGCCTGTTGAGTATGGGCACGCAGCCAAGATTTTAGGGCAGTGGCAGAAGCCAGGGCCGTCTTTCCTGAAGGCGGGCTGGGCTCAGCCGCCACCGAGGGTTGCAAAGCCTTTAAAGCGATTAAGCGCATGATGCGGAACCGCATCAATTTGGCTACCTTCGATGAGGCCTCTGCTGCGGATGGGTCGTGTCCCCTTGAGCAGATCGCGGATGCGTCGGGCATCGCGGTAGGGGGCAGCGTCGTGCAGATGACGCGTGACTTGAGTCAGCTCAAAGTGCTTATGACGCACTCAAAGAGCTTGACCCCCGCGCAGCAGAACTGGCCGCCCTTGATACAGGAGGCGTTTGCCCAGCTCGAGGTAAAGCGGGCGACACGCCGCATGTTTGGCTCTATTCGGACTCTGTGTTGGACAGATCATGCCAACCTTACCCGAGCGCAAACGTCGGACATCGGAATGGATCCGAAACTCGTCCGGTGGGTTGCGGAAATCCTTATGGATGGGTCCGAAATAAGGAGCCTTAGCGGTCGCTCAGCGACGCTGGGTGACAGTTTTAGCCGCAATCCCAAAGATCGGGATGCGCTCCTTGCGGCGAGGACGAAAGATCTCGAGGGCCTTTCGGGCCAACTCCGAGGTTTCGACCTGGACCAGTACCTCGGAGAGGGTACTGAGGGTGACGGACCCGTGCCCTGGGCGGTCGGCAACGACGCCGTCCCAGAGCCTGCGGGCCGTGTCCAGGCCGCGGCTGTGCCGATGTGCGTCGTCGCAGCCCTTCCGGTGCGCGTCATGGTTGTCTTTGACTACGCGCGTTGGAAAGAGCAGGACGCAGAGCTGACTGAAATCAGGCGCGTTTTTCAAGCGAGCCTCCCTGGAGTTTCTGTGGCTGTCAGGGGTTGTTGGGGTCCGTTTGAGGATACCGACGGGCTTGCCTCGCATTTTGATTGCGGGGCCGGCAGGCTCGCAGGGACCAAGAAGATCAAGCGGATCAGGGTCGACTTGCTTACTTCGTGTGCCAAGGTTCTTAGGGAAGCTTCGGGGTTTCGTCCGCAGTTCCTCGTAGGACTTGGGCAAGGCGGGCTTGTCACAGCCGTCCTTAGGTGGCCTTTGGTTGTTGAGCTCAAGCTCCAAGCAAGGAACCTGCAGCGCAAGGAAGCCAGGGCTGTAGGAGAGGCTTGGGCAGGCATCAAGGCTATCTGGGCGGTGCGGCCACGCCTTTGGCGCACGCAGCAAGG